GCAACTGTAAACCACAGAGAAGCCTGGAGTCTTTCTGCTTCACTGGCAGATTGGTGGGAATGTCTCGTGTTCTGGGGTTTCTGAAAGAACAGTCTCTAATGCTGTGATGGTAATTCCTGTGATTTTTGCCTTTGAAGCTCCTCTTGAGTACCTATTTTCCTGTTGTGTTGGGTCTGGCATGACTGTTCACCTTTAGCGAGTGTACCCTGGCCAGTCCTTTTTGTTCCCTGCTGTGTGCTTCACTGGCAGATTGGTGGGAATGTCTCGTGTTCTGGGGTTTCTGAAAGAACAGTCTCTAATGCTGTGATGGTAATTCCTGTGATTTTTGCCTTTGAAGCTCCTCTTGAGTACCTATTTTCCTGTTGTGTTGGGTCTGGCATGACTGTTCACCTTTAGCGAGTGTACCCTGGCCAGTCCTTTTTGTTCCCTGCTGTGTACGGCCTTGGTAGCAGCCACAACTCAGATGTTTGTCTTGACATCCTTAATTTGACATACGTGCTGAGGGGTAGTCTGGCAGACAGTACGTGGTTGATGTGGGCTTATTCTTAACTGCCTGCACAGAATACCTGGAAAAAAATAAACCAAACCAGACCCCTTTCCCAGTGTGCTTTTGTTAATAACACTGGAAGCTAAAGCTTCAGCATCATGGGAGATACTGCTTTCTCATAGGAGGCTTGTACCTCTGGCTTGTAGCAAAGCCTGATGGCTGTTTGTCTTAATACATACTCTACTCAGTTAAAAGTCTGAAAAGCCACACACATTTTGAGCAGGGAGTACACCCTTCTGGACACATGACTACATGCATTACTTGTGCTTCCTCTGCCTTTCACACTGCAAGATGCAAGAGTGCTAAATGCCCTAGGAATAGGGAGTGTGAGACCTTCACTGTCTGAACAGGGATAAAACATCTTACCAGAAACAAACCCCTATCGGTCAGCATTTGTCCTGAATTTTAATTCCCCACCACAGATCATGCTACACGCGATAGCGTTGCCTTGCCAAGTGTTTTTCCTCATCCTTTCCCCTTTTCTTTGCAGGTGGCAGGCCTAACCCTGCTGGCAGTGGGTGTTTACTCTGCCAAGAATGCCACGGCAGTAGCAGGGCGGTACATAGAAGCACGTTTGGGCAAACCATCTCTGGTGAGAGAAACCTCACGCATTACTGTGCTGGAGGCACTGAAGCATCCTATCAAGGTAAAGTTTAGTTTTGTTAGTGTGTTGCACTCAGCCATGAGGATGCAAAACTCCTTTTGCGGCTCTTTGTGTCAGGCAGGGAGCTGTTGAAGAGTCTGTGAATAAATATAGTCTTAGAGATAGCGTAGGTGGGCTGAGCTCATTGTCATTTCATACGACCTTTTTGTCCAGGTGCGTTGTCAAAACTGTGGTTGATCTCTACATGTCAGTAATTGAATTTGTCCTCTTTAGGTTGGTAAGCGTCTCACCAGCAAGGCTCAGGATGCTCTTGAAGGAGTTGTTCTCAGTGTGAGTACTCTGTTTTGCTATCTTGGCTTGTGAGGGATGCTTTTGGAATCTAAATAAGAACGGCTGTTTCCTTACGCTGACTTCAAAAGCTGTAATTCCAGTAATTCTGGAGACATAGCACCCTTGGGGCACTGAAACCGTAAATAAGCTCCTGTGTTCAGTGTGACATGCATTAAGCACTCTGTTAACCTTTTTTCCTCTGTGCGAAGCAGTTGGAAGTCTTCGTTCAGCCCTTGCCCTGCTGTAGTTTTTCTCTGTAGTCAGCGTGTTAATATACAGAGTTCCACTTGGCTCATCTAATCTGTTAAGGATTGCTGAACCTAGATCTGCTTGTAGGCCAAAAGGCCAAAGAAGCATATGCGTTTGCCCATCTTGTGAATGGTTGTTAATTTGCTAATTAGGGCTGCTTCTGTATATTTGCTTCTGAATTTGATTCCTGGATAGCAGGCAAATTTATGTGCTTCTTGAAGCTGCTGAGAGAAAATGCTCCTGCAAGAATAGCTTTCTCCCAATATCTCTACAAATGCAGTAATAAGTACAAACATGAATGTTTATGACTTCTATGAAAGAATCAGTACTGCAAAGAGTTGCTTATGTTATGACATATCCCTCCCAGGGTATCCACTATGAAGTGAATATTCAGGTGCTATCAGTTCTTACAGTAGTTACTGCACTGCTTCCTGCACTGCTGCTTTTTCTTGTAAAAGAATTATAGCCAAGTGGACAGAACTTTAAATTGAGTAAAGCCTGACGCAGAAGGGGAAATGACCCTGGTCTGAAGCAGTAAGCAGCTGAAGTTAAGACTCTAAAGCTTGAGACTGTAGAAAGTGCTGCGTACTTCTTGCTGGTACCGATCTGTGAAGCTGATAGATGCAGGTCTCTTGGTACTTTCTGTTCCTTAAGTTTAACCCTTTTCTTGCAGCCACAGTTGGAAGCACGTGTGAGAGACATTGCCATAGCAACAAGAAATACAAAAAAGAACAAAAGCCTATACAGGAATATTCTTATGTATGGTCCCCCTGGCACTGGAAAGACGCTCTTTGCCAAGGTAAAACCCTGCCAAGATTCTGACAACCTGCATGTTGCAGGGTGCTCTGAAAACTGCAGACTCTAAGCACCCTCCCTAGTCTGAAATGTATTGCTGCATAAACGTTATGTTCATGTGTCTCTGTTGGGAAGGGAGGAAAGGGCATCCAGCCTGCTTCAACTCTAAATTGGTACAGTTGCTTGGGTTCTAGGGCTAAATGTAGGCAGAAGAGCCCTTCCATCTGAAAGAGGCACTTTGCAACTGTGACTTGTGAAATCCCAACACCAGCCTGGTGTCTCATTTCCACCTATGTTGATTTTATGCACTTGCCTAAATAGGGTCTTTCCTGCTGTTGCTTAATTAATCCCAGAGCAGAGAAAAGATAGGTATGGCTTCACTGTGCATGTGCACTACCAGAGTGGTTTTTGCATGGATTTGAATTGGGATTTGATTTCATGTACTTTTTTTAACAGTGGCAGGTTTGATGTGCTGGTGCAAGTTAATTTTTTTCTCTATCAATACATTAAACCCATATCCCAATAGTTTTTTGCAGTCTGCTCTCAGTGTGCCACCTAGTTTGGATTTCTAAAGCCAGTAGAGAGGGACAGGTCTAGGAAATGGCAACAGCAGCATAAGGAGAAGAGAGAAGTGTAAGAGCCAAGAGAAGTGATTGGCAGTGAAGGAAGGAGAAGAAGCTGACTGTTTTCTGAGCTGTGACTTTTGCACTTGGGTTAATGTCAGTGACAATACAGATTGCTATTATTGCTGTTCCAAAAAGGCAACATGTCCTAGTGTGGTGGCCTTGTCTGATCCCTGCAGGGCAAAGACATGTATGAGTCTGTGGTGGTAAGTAGTAATGCTACGTGACAGGGTTCTTGAGCCTGATGTAAACACACTTGGATGCAACTGTCAAAGCTTCCAGCTTTGTTGGACTGGTACAAAACACTAAACATCAGTAGCAGGAACTCAGTGGTTTTAAGGGGCAGAGCAAAGCTTTTTTTCCAGCCTCCTGCTGCACAGCAGATAACTGGTTGGATTCAGCTAAGCGTGTTTTGCTGGGGCTGTTGCTGATCTGCTTGGCTCGACTTGTTCATTTTAACCTTCACATGACTTTTCCTTTACTCAGCAGAACTGGATAACCAGGTCTGGGTCCACTAATGGTATGTTAACACAGCCTGCTGTCTCTCACTGTGGCAGGGCTCAATTGGTGGCTGCTTTGTGAACTGCTTTCTGAAATGGAGGAGACATCTTCCCGCTTATTAGCTTCAAATCCAAGCGAAGTCTGTTCTGTCAGATGCAGGTGTCTGTGGGCTCATTCACCGCTGAGATGTTGCAGCAAGATGGAGAGCAGGTTTAAGCTGGGAGCTTAATTGCAGTGTTATATAGTTCTTGGTAGACCTGTCTGGGCTGAAGTAGAGGGAAGCCTTGCCAAGGCTGTAATTCTGCCCCGCAGTGACATGACAGGCTAAGCAAACTTTGGTCAGTGCAAGCCATAGGCTCTTCTGATGTGCTTGGTTAATGTTGGATACATCCTGTCAAACTTGCTTTATGGATAGACTTGCATTTTCTGTCTCAGATAAAATCATAGAGGATTTATTTTTCCTTACCTGCAGGCTTAAGGGAGGTATTTCCAGCATGCCCCAGGAGCTTCATCAAAACCGTTTGCTCAGTAGCCACTGGACCAATGAATTGTTGCAGGCTTTAAAACGCAAAAGGAAAATTCTGTTATTTTGTCTGAATGCTTATTTGGTTCACTGACCATTTAATTCCAGGCTCTTAAATTTTTTTTCAGTGAATGTAATTTTGAGTTGGATTAGTTAAGCATCTAGTAGAGAACAGAATCCTGTTCTGCTGCACAGAGAAAGGAAGTTATAAACTAGATCATGAAGAAAACAGTGGAAGAAATAAACAGTACCCAAGTTAAAGATGAAGGTCTTAAGCACTCTCAGCAGTGTCTGCTAGCATTAAAATTTCGTGCATTGCCATAAGGCTGATCATCCATCTTTTGTTCCCATTCAGAGCAATGCTTAAAAGCTGCCCCTAAGTGACTATAGTAGTATTCTCTTCTCTAAGAGCATACTTACCCTCTGCAAATAAGCACACTGGTAGGACTAAACTACTTTTATTTCCCTCCTCATCTTCTGTGGACTTGCAGTGAAAGAGAGTGCTTAACTCCCTGGTTTTATTTCCTTCCAGAAATTAGCTGTGCACTCGGGCATGGATTATGCCATCATGACCGGTGGCGATGTTGCCCCCATGGGGCGGGAAGGAGTTACTGCCATGCATAAACTCTTCGACTGGGCAAACACCAGTAGGAGAGGGTAAGTAGAGGTTCCTCCGAGTCTTGAATTTGGTTTCTTGCTCAAAGAAACTTACTGCAACGATGTCATTGAGACCCCTGATCTCTGTTTGTTATTGCATGATACTCTTCCGCAGATGAGGTAGCACTGACCGGGCATAACATCTCCTAAAGTTTTCCTAGAATGGGTGAATTCTTGCTGCTTAGTAATACTTAAAAAGCTGAAAGCTTTTGCTCTTCTGCTCCTTCAAACCCTTCTTGTTTACTTCACGTTTCCCAGATCGGTCATAGCTTGGCTCTGCTGATCTCACCAGGCAGGTGATAGTGCCCACTTGAAGGCTGGGACACGTGTCTTTCGGAGTGATTAGGTTTCTGACAGTAGTTAGAAGACTTAGCACAAATGGATGTGTAACCAGGTGTTTACACTCTCTGCGTATTATGTTCCCTGTTGCAATTGCTCAGATTTTAGACTCTGATAGTGTTTGCATCCAGCTTCTTGTTTACTTTTGAGTGTCAAGCAGAAGTCACGAATTACAAGAAATGAAAGAGGATAAAGGGGAGACAGATGCTGAAGGCATTGACGTTAGATGGGTGTCAGAGTCACAAGCTGCTCTGCTTTTTCAGTCACCTTTAAAATCAAACTTTTATCTGCAGAAAAGCATTCATGTTGAGGCTAAACCTCGACTGATTTTGTAAGAGTATGTAGTTAATTTGTTCATACTAGTGTAAATGGATTTTTTTGCAGTCCAGAGGTAGCTAGGAGGTTGCTTGTCCAGCCAGGGTATTAAAATGCAATAGGGACCTTACAGTGGGTGTCAGTTTGGTTTCTTTGTGCTGTTTTGATTGCAGGTCTTCTATAAATGTGGCTAACGGGTGATTTATGTGTTCTCTGATTGTTTTAGATAGACATTATCTTGCAGTGTCTGTTTTAATCCTTGCTGCATTCATCATCTAAATGTTTCTATTTCCCCTTTAAAAAAAAAAAAACAAAACTTGCAGAGTAAATGCCCTAGGGATTTAAACTCTTTAAGCTTCTCCTACCCCGAGGAGCTATAGAAGGAAAGGTGTAAGAATTTAAGTGAGCTTAGAAAAAGAAGTTGGAGGAGAGATGAAGGTATTCAAGTAGATGAAGACTGCTGGATGCTTCTGCTAAAGAATTCTCTTTCAGAGCACTCCCTGGGTCTGAGTTTATTCTCTGTCCTGATAAAATCTTCTGCGTGTTTGAACTTCATAGGCTTCAGATAGCCATCGTATGAAAGTAGTGATCAGAGGTTACATGTGTCCATATGCATCAATATTCTAAGCCCAAGTAACATTCAAGTATTTAAGCAGGTGTATTGGGTTTGCATGGCAAGGTTTGGGGGGGTGGGGCTGCAGGGATGGCTTCTGTGAGAACCCACCACAGCAGATTTTATTCTGGATATCCGACCATGTTAGCTGTTAGTACTGTGTTGCCTTTATTAGCTGAAAGCCCTTGTGATAGAAGACACTTCTCTGCAGAGACTGTAGCTGAGAATATTTTTCAGAAAAACTGGAGTTGAATAAAAGATGTTAATAGGCCCTGAAATCCCTTGAAAGCAAGCTGGTTTTGAAGCTAGGCAAGAAGGTAATACAAGCTCTGACAGCTTTATGAGCAACTTGGTTCTGTTATTGATAAACATCTTTATACGCTTTGTCTCTTGGGAAGAGCACTACCCTTGGGTTATAAGTGAATTTATTTTTGTGAATTATTCATTGACTTTATTAATTCACTTCTCCACAGGTAGTAAAACCATTATATTATTGCTTGTGTGGTTTGGAAAGGGAAAACCCAACAAAATAACAAAGCAAGTTGCAGGGGAGGACTCTGTTTTCAGGTTTTCAGAATGGTATAAGGAAGAAAAATGGCAGGAAGATGCCAGTGTCACCAAGACTTCTTGTATGCTTGTGTACCTGTCTTGTACGCTTGCACACATTTCTCTAAATAGGCGGGAATGCTAAAATAAACACTCTCACAAATACTTGGGGAGCCAGGTCTGAATTTCAGAGATCTACTCCAACTTGGCAGTAATGTGCCAGCACTGCTAGATACAAGCCCATTGCCAAACCGTGCCCATGAAAACTCCCATCTGTATTTGAAAATCTGGAGGAAGTTAAGACCATGTGCCCTAAGAATTGCTTCTGTTCAAGCTGCTTCTGAACAGCAAGAAACAAAACTCCAGAGGCCTGCAGTCAGATTTATGGCCTAAGGTGTCTTAAGCTAATGCCTCTTTCTTCACTGTTGGGATGGGCCAAGCATATGCAATGTCAATGTTGCTGTAGCTTAGCTGAGAAATGTTACCTTAAGAAATGAATTTGCATGTATAATCCTTCAAGCTTAGAGGCAGTCACAGTTTATGGGTGCCGCGTAATGGGACAGGAGAATCCTTCAGCCATGTGAGCCTCACTTACCTGTCTCCTATTACTGTGTAGTGCTTTCCTTTTACAGCCTCTTGCTATTTGTGGATGAAGCGGATGCGTTTCTGCGGAAGAGGGCAACAGTAAGTACTTTGTCTGTTATCTGTGCATGCTGCAGAGTTAGTCAGCCAACAGCCTTCTTGTTTAACCTGATTAGCTAGCTGTAACAGGCAGAAGATTAAAACTGGCAGGTGCCTTACTACTCACCTAATTAAGTGATGCAGAGACAAGAAATTAGTGTCTTGCAGCTGAATGGAACAAGCATCTCAAGACTGACTTGAGAATTCCTTCCTGCAAAAGATGGGTGACATCATCTTTTTGGAGGTTTTGCAGGTGACTGGGCACTAGGAAGAAAAGAGGCATATCTTGAAAACAAGAGAAGATTGTTCACACTGCAGAGCTGGTACCCTGCAGTGTTTGGTTTTTGTCCCAACGGATATTTATCTTGGGACATTTTCATAACAGAACTACTTTTCACTGCATTAGCAAAGCTACACTAGCATCTTCCCCTGTACAAATGATTTATGTTTTCGAAGTAAGTCACCATATTGTACACTGAATCTGGACCTGCTACTTGAACCGCTATTGTCTATTTAAAGAGCTGTCCCTGGAAGATTACTTTGAATGTGTAAGGGAATTCTTTGCTGTGGCTTATTTTCTTGTAAGTATCTTACCGGACTTCCCAGTTAAAATAGTTTTCAGCAGGGAAAAGCCACCTGGGCCAGTGGTTAGAGCCTTGGGTTTGAGATCAAGAGACTCACTGAATGACTGTGAGTAAATACTTAATCTCTCTGCTGGATGTTTTAATTCCTAACCTTTTTCCTGGGTATATAAATTGATCCCTTTTTTTGCAAGGTATTAAAGTCCTTTGGATTCTACTGTAATGCAAATGCTTGATAATAACAGGAGTCACTTTGTCAATAATGCTGCTTAAGGCTGTGACCTGTCTTAGGTCCCCAAGCAGTTGATCTTCCTTTGGATTTCATCTTTGCAGGAGAAAATCAGTGAAGATCTCAGAGCAATCCTGCACAGAACAGGGCAGCACAGCAACAAGTAAGTATCCGGTTTCAGCTCTTATATCAGTTGATATTTCCCTGAATTGGGGAAAGTCTGTAAAGGCTCTGTGGTGTGCAAATGAAAGTTGGAAACGTATGATCTGTGCTACTAAGGGCTTGAAAAAAATCTGCCTAGGATAGCCCCTTTTCAGCATATATACTGAATGGAGCTTGGTCCTCCTTTACCTTTTCCTGGGACCTGGAAATTAGAATTCAGAAGGGCTGTACCCAGGGTAGAGATCAGTGCTTGTAAAAAGGATGTGTGTTTGGCATCTTGAACTGCCTTTCAGGACAAGACTTTCCCAGCTATGGTACATAGTGGTGAGCAGTTCCCTTTCACACGTCATCCATACTGTATGCAGCTCTCTTCCAGCACTCTAGGGAAATTCTTTCCTGAAAAGGGGTGGTATTTGAATATATTGATTGTCTTAATGAGTACATTCTCTTTCTTGATCAGCTGCTGTTGTTTAAACAAGGACAGTATTGGGCCTGTGAATATCAATATCGTAAAAAAGAATGCAAGCTTGATACTTGCTGGATGTTTTGTAATCCCTCCACAAATGCTTCAGCCTGTGCTTGTTGGAGCTGCTGTTCCTCTCCTGTGCTTTGGTGGCCTCGCTGTGCTGTGCATGTTTGTGTGGTGGGGGTGGGTTTGAAACTTGGAGGCAAATGAGGTTAAATCTGACCCCAGTTCTTTTGCATGAGCTGTCTGCTCAGTATGTCTGTGTGCAAAGTTGCACATAAACATAGGAATCCCAGAGCGGTTTCCTTCAGGGCTGCTAATAGATTTGCTAACCACAGATGATTGCAGGGCTGACTTGATAGATGTGTGCATGTGTATGGATTTCATTGCCCATCCATCCGTGCTCACTTTGTCCCATTACTGTTAACTTCCTGCAGAGCACTGCTTAATTTAACAAGAGCCATTTCTTGGCTGTCATAATAGACACATGGCCTTTCCTTGGCCTTTTTCAAATAATCTTTGATTTGATTTTTTTTTTTGTGTGTGTGTGTGTGTGAACTTAGTTGTTAAATTTCTTTTACAAAAAAAATTGAGCTAACAAGAAAAGTTGCCTCTGTCTATGTGGGAAGGTGAGTTTCTCAGTGATGAACTGCTCCCTTAGTAAGGTTGTAGTGAAACTCTTGTGATAGCAACCTCATGACATTGAAATAAATATTTTAGAAGGTCATTGTTTCAGGACAACAGCAGGGCATTCTCTGTCCCTGGGGTCTCTCTTGAACTTGCTAAAACCAATGCAGCTCTGATAGTTGTTTGCATGTAGCTTCTCTGTACCCTTCTCTGTCACAGCAAGGTGTCCTGGGAGGTGTGCCTTCCCAAAATGAGTAGATTGCTAGAAAGTAACGTGTTGGGCCTTCAAGAACCTTGCAAGATCCTTGGTTTTCTCTTTGGGAGGATAGCAAGTCTATTCTGAAATGATACATAGAATTGCTCTATAAATGCTAAGTTGAATATAATAATTATTAAATGATGTTGTGCTTGCTGTTTGCAAGAATAAATATAAAAAAAAAAAGATGTTGGCAAAATACATGTTCTGCAGGACCCAGAGCAAGTGGTGCTTAAGATAGAAATGCAATTTTCCAAGGTGAAAACTGTAAATATCCTGAGCTCCTAGGTGATCTCTAGAAATGTCTTTTGCCTTGTACATGCGAAGATGATAAAGATGTTTGGGTGGAACTGCAGAACTTTTAAGTATAATAGTGTGTATGTTTTAGCTTTAGATAGTTCCCCCTTTTTCTAGGAAATAGTCCTTTTCAGATAGTGATGTCTAATTGCTGTGGATCCAGCAAAGTTAATTTCAGATATCTGTGATGTCTAATTGCTGTGGATCCAGCAAAGTTATCTTTTTGACCAGATTTATAATTGCACTGTGGGCCAGTGACTGGCAGGGAGTGGTAAGGGGATGGTTCTTTCTTCTGATGTTAAACGGCCTTAGCAGAACTCTGGGCACACTGGTTTGGTGCTAGTGGGTGCTATGCCTCCACTCAAAACAGTTGGGCTGTCATTTTGTCAGATGTTGAATTCAACTCTAATTTAAACTCTGAGCCATTCTAGGAGACTGAACATGTCCTTGTGATTCACACACTGCTTTTTACTTCAGAGCAGCCTTATTGCTGCTTTGGGCAATAAGGAGTCCTGTATCCATCAATGGGAGTGCACGTAAATCTAGCTGGTTTGGCGAGACCCTGAGGGGTACAGTTACTTCACCAGTGAATTGTCACCAACATAACTGAGTATTGCGAATTGCTGGCTTAAACTTCCCAAAGAACTTTCTGTATGTTCTTGCTGGATAGCTGACTGTGCCTGCATCTCTTGCTTTTTTTGTATCATTTTCACGATAGAAATGAGCAAGGCCTGAATATCAGGTTGCACGTCGATCCTTTACCCAGGCTGTGTTTCTGCGGGGGTTTGGGGGAAGTCCTTGCTGATAGAAACGGAACCGTTTCATGCCTGTGTGGCTCTTGGGTTGGCAACGTTATCTTCAGAAATGACAGCAAAGAACGCAGCCCCCTGTAGACCAGGATTTAAATAGACTTCAAGAACGTCAATATTCCAATAGCTGTGGTTAAAAACCCATTTCAAATTATAATGCGCTATTAAGCTGGTAACATCAATTAAAGCATTAAAGTAGAATTGTCATGGGGAAGAAGCATCATTACAAAGGAAAAGAAAGGGCTTCTGGCTTCAAAGTGCAACAGGAGAGAGCAGGCCCTGGAAGCTGGCACATCTGTACCACGGAGCAGAGCTTGGTAACACAAAGCACCTTTGCTTTATGGTATCCATTGTGAATGCCTCTCTTTCTGCACATTTTAGACTTGGTAGGAGGAATGTGTTGCCAGACTTGCTTGAAGGAAACAAGTCAACTTTTACTAGCTGCTGAAGAATGACCTTCCTGTGCAGACCCAGCAGTGGTACGCTCCCCTTATTCTTGGGCCACGATGAGTCCAGTCGGTGCTCTGCAGCTCGTTGGGCTGGCTGAGGTTTCAGGAATGCTGTTGGCTTTCAGTTTGGCAGCTATTCATACCTTCAGAGCAGGACTAAGACAGCCCCTCGTGATTCTAGGGTGCTGTGCCGTTAGCAGCTTGAAGTCAGTTCCCCAAACTGGGATTTAAACTGGAGATATATGTGTGCCAGAGAACATCTCTCCATGTTGTCCAGCCTTGTTCCAAGGTTCCAGACTTGGAGCTCTCAAGGAGGTTGTACTCTTGCTAAAAATTTGTGATACTCCTAAATTGAGGGAGATTGTGGGTAAAGTGATAAATCAGGCTTCTATGGCAAGGACAGACTGGGGAAGACTGATATCGGAAGGCTAAGTACTGAGTTAAACGTGTTCCAGTTCTAAATAGCTTAAACTACACTGCATTTTAGAGCGTCGCTTGAGATGCTGTTACAGAGCTGTTTCTAAGGAACCTTCAGACATGTCAGGTGATGAAATGTCTTTGATACTGCCCATGGCAGTTCCCAATGTTCAGACTGGTTCACTGATTTTTATTTTTATGGGTTTTTCAGTCTTTCCTCTCTTGTCATACTTCCAGGTTTATGCTTGTTTTAGCAAGCAACCAGCCTGAGCAATTTGATTGGGCTATCAATGACCGAATAGATGAAATGGTGAACTTTGATCTGCCTCAGCTAGAAGAACGGGAGCGGCTTGTGAGAATGTATTTTGATAGGCATGTCTTGAAGCCAGCCACAGAGGGTAAACAGTGAGTATCTTTGCAGAACTTCCCACCCTATAGATTCTCTTTCTTTTACTGTTTTTCTTCATCTCGTTTTCTTTGTATTCTGTCACACTTTTTATAAACCCACTTTAAGCAAGTAGTACAGGTAAGAGTTGGAGACATGCCTCTTGCTATCCTGCTACAGGTAAGATGCCATCCTAGAATTTGATGCCGTGGTTTGTTGTGCCCTTAACATTTAGGAGACCAGTTACTGCGCTGGAGGCAATAATGCAAGTAGGAACACTGTTGGAACTCCTCATCCAAGCACTTGTCTTTGCTTGGCTTAACAGAGACAAATCAGGCCAAGTGACTCGTTTCTTTGGGCTGTGCAGTCTTGCACTTTTTTGGTCTTAATCCAGGTACGCATGTTTCTTTGTGCCACAAAATGGGGCTTTCTGGGCCCAGGAGAACAACTTCTGTACTCAGGCTGGATCTTTCTACAGAGATTGATCCGATCTGATCTTTGATTTCATTGTAAGTGTTGCTCTTTACAAAGCCTACCTCTGACTCCCTCATCCTCCTTTCCTGTCATGTGCCTACGTGTAAACTAATCCTTGTTCTTCTGCTTTTTAGACGTTTGAAACTGGCCCAGTTTGACTATGGGAAAAAGTGTTCGGAGATTGCCAGGTTGACGGAGGGCATGTCTGGCCGAGAGATCTCTCAGCTTGCTGTGGCATGGCAGGTAAGTAGAGCTTTTATCACTGGGCTGCTTGGTTTATTTTCCCATTCTGGAAGGCTTGAGTGTTTGATGTTGGAGTCTCAGATCTTGTCTCACTTTGGAAGTTTCATTATGTCCATACAGTAGTACTGGCATGCTGCTAGCTCTGGGGTGGGTGTCAGAATATCAGCGTAATTCCTCATCTCCTAGATAGGAACAGTTTTTATAACCAATAATGGGAAATCCCTTACTGAATTTAAGTAAAGGAAGTGAGTTAGGAATGGGTTTGGGCAAATCATGCTGGCCATTGCTCATGTTCCAGCTGAAGAAGCTCAGTAGAAGAGACGCCTAATGTGTTGCTTATAGGTATGACAGCATTAGGACACTAAAACACCCTTCTGCCCTACTTTGTTCCAAACGCATTTTTAGTGCAACTTGAGTAATTGGAGAAACAAAACTAACTGGAAAATGGAGCTGAAAAGACTAGGTACTTCTACATGCGTGGTTCCTATATAGAAATAAGAAATGCAATCACTTTGAGGGCAATTGTTCCTGTGTTCAACAACCTCTAGCACTTTTTTTTTAATCAGGCTTTCACCTTGTTTTGTCACAGCTGCCAGTTTCTTACTGGATTGTGTATTTTTATAAACTAATCTAGTAATATCAATTTAAGGAACATGCTCCAAATTATATGTCGTGTAACTTACTAATGTCGGCTTCCTTTCAGGTGTTGTAAAAACAAAGTTGTGTTGGGTTTTTAATTTAGTTTAGCAGTTCACAAACATTTTACAAAGTTTGTGCATTTCATTCCTCCTCCTACTGTTCTTCCACCTTTTAAGGTACGGAAAGTATTTATCCTTTCTAATCCATTTAACTGCAGTAGTCATGAGCTGAGGTCCAAAGCAGCCATTTGAATGCTGTTAGTCCTTGTTTTATTCTTTGTATGTTACCACACAGCTGGTTAACTTTACTACGCGAATTTTGTATTATTGAAACATTTCAAAATGTGTGCTGTCATCTGGAAATTTATACAAAGCTTTATTTTTAATTTGTGTCTGTTCTCTAACTGCCTGAAAACATACCAGCTTAGCATTACCAGTTCGGTCAGGAAGCTTAGCAAGATGTTTGACAAGTGTTTGAAATTCAGAGAGAATAGTGCATATTGGTGGGAGTTCGGTGGCCTGCCATGGTGTCCAGTTGTTCAGACACCCCTCTGGAGAGCTGACAGGTTGAGGGAAAGACTGGAATCTTGGGCCATTCTGCCTTTCACAGAGACAGTAGATCACGGCTTAACTTCTTCCAAGCACAGCTATGCTTTTTGTGGGCTTCTGATTTTGAAACCCAGGATGAAGACCTAGGGTGTTTGTCTTAAACTGAGTGACGGTGATGTGGGAGAGAAAGACCGCTAATTGTCATAGAAGTTCTTTATTTCTCTTTGTCTAGAAGAGAACCCCTATGTGAAAGGCTTTGCTGCAAGGCATTTCTTGTAATAAAAAGTTGTGATAAATGATCCTTTGCGTTTTATCAGCTTTGCTTTTTATCACCCCTTATCTCCTAGCTTGTCATTACTTCCCGGGAATGACCTTAGCTTTTATCATTTATCCTTTAAGTGATCTTGAAGGAAGGGAAAGGTGGGGGCGACTAATTCCTTAGTGTTGTCCTGATCACTTTTTTTAAAAAGTACTTCATAGCACCAGAACTATTAATGAGGTTCTATGTAGAATTGCAGCAGGAGGTTATGTTCCTCTCTCCTGTTATAAAACAAAGGGCTTTAAAAAAAAAGATGCAGGAGAGGGTGGACAAAAAGACAGGAATCGTTTTGATGTAGAAGCCGCAAGAAGCTTCATCTGTGTCAGAATCAAAGTTGTTGGTGTTCTGGAACAAGGGACTTCGTATCTTATCCCTTGATCAAGAAAGGAAGCGTGATGTGTCACGGGTCAGCATTAAAGTGGCACAGGCTTTCTGCAGCGAGTGGCTTAGACACGTGGACTTCTTTCCTCAGGAGGTGGCTGGGTGGATACAGTCCGCTAGCGGGCTTGCGAGGGCATCCAAAAAGGGGTAAGATTTCAGTCTTGAACACTGCCCTGGGAGCTGCCTGCCAGAGCTGTTGATCCTAAATGCTACCGCAGGGTTCTTTTTCAGTCACTGAATCAAGGAATTTGAAGCTGTGACTGACTGGAGCTGGACCAGAGCTTTACAGAAGGCTGCATTTATGCCAGGTTTGGCCCGCTGACTTTTGACCATGGCAAGACTTGTTAACATCTGCCTTTGGTTGGGACTACGTAAAGTATTAAGGGTATGGCACTTCAGTAGCTGTGGTTAAAAGCCTCTTGGTTAGCAGGTGTTTCAAGTACTCTTAACCCAAGTTGATCTCTTGAATGGTATCAGTATTTTGGGGCCTGGGTCAGTGCTAGCAGGTAGCTTGTTATAGGTAGCTTTGTAGCTGATCTAACTCTTCTATCAGGGAAGGATGAAGGCTGCAGTTTGATAAACACTTCTGACAGTGTTACTCCTGCTTCATATTCCTGCCTTCCTGCTATCCTTTCTGTTGTGCTGGTACACCTCTTTGTACAACTGTACCATGAACTGGGTCAGGGAGCTGATCAGAATTAAAAATAGCTTGGCAAGGCAAGCTAACTGCACAGCTACATTGCTGTCCTGGAGCAGCTGAGGGGGTGGATCGAGGTAGGTAGGGGCGATATGAACCAGCATAACCAGCTCAAGAAAATGCTTATCCAACTTTTCCTGAGCTGGATGTAACAGCTGTAAGGTGGTTGTATACTGCAGGTAGGACTGACTCTTGAACTGGTGGTCTTTTAAACTCCCGTATGACCGAATTTGTGATTCAAGATGCTGCATGCCAAAGATGGTTGATGTGGGAAATAACCTGATGTGAGCAGCACCTTTATGAATACACACTTGCATTTTAGTCAGCTTGCAAGCTACAGTTTTGTCCGCCTTGGATGTGCAGAGCAATAAGAACAGTACAAAAGGGCTTAACCTGAGGATTTAGGGAGCCTCTTCTGTGACTCTAGTTGAGGTGAACACCTGGATTTCCTATTCAGTTCCCTACTTGCAATTGCTTTTTTTTTTCTCCCCCCTTTCCACACAAAGTGTTAGGTCAAGTTAACAAGGCAGGAAGAGTTTGAGATGCTGTACAAGTTGAGAAGATGAAGGGCAGGAAGAGCCAAGAAAAGTGGAAAAACAAGGTCTCAACAGTTCTGTTTCTGATCTTAGTAACACCTTATAGAGCTGGTAAACAGCAGATGTCGTGAGCCTAGTGCTCTTTCTGAAGTCCTCACAGCAGACTTAAAACAACTATGTCTTGAGACATTTAAGCTTTTCTAGATGGGTTCATCACAACAGCTGCTGAAATGCAATATGCCTAAGGTCTCCGTTTTAATAAATAAATAAATTCAATTGACCCATTCTGGGGAAGATTACAGCACAAAGCCCTAGTGAAAACTGCTGGTTGTGAATATTGGAGCACAGAGCTGGATGGGAGCATTTCGTTTGCCTTTTGTTTTCAGCTCTTTTGCATAGTGCCCTGATGTGACCTGGAGATAATCCTCAAAGTGTAAGCTTAATTGCAATATGCCTGTCACTTAATTCACCTCAGATTTGTGTATATATATTTTCTTAATTAGTTTATTCCTCCAGCAGTCATTTGCAGTGTTGCTGTCTGTATGCATTCTACCTCTGTAGACATAGAATCATAGAAACATCTAGGTTGGAAAGACCTTTAAGATCATCAAGACCAACATGTCTTGGAACAAAACTTCAACCAGTGCTTGGACAACAGAGACAAACGCAGAGGGAGCAGAATGGCAGGCTTCATCTATTTCATAGGGTCTGTCCTACTACCTCAAGCTGACTGAAGCCTCATTGCTTGCAATTCTAGTCCTAACCTCTACGTGATAAAACTTAAATCAAATCACCCATGAAGCACAGGTAGTACTAGGAAAGGCAGTGAGGAATCTGCATGGCTGCTACTGCTTCCATTCCTGAATCTGCAGAAGTGCTGAATTAAATGGATGGGGAGCACAGGAATACTTTTATCATGGACCTGATGGAGTTTTGAGATGCCGGGATCCTCATCAGCTCTATGTAGCTTGCCTGGGGTCATCTCCCATGGCCAGAACTGAACCTCAAGAGATGGTTTGGGGAAAAGTGAAGTTCTGAAGCAGTAGGAGGAGAAACCATCGTACCTGTCAGCTCTTACCGAGAATAACTTACCATGGCAGCATATGGCCACTCTGCTGTCCCGTGGCCTCGCAGTCATTTCCCAGGAAGGTATTTTTGGAGTGCTCTGCCAATACTGCTTTTAACAGAAACCTCTCAGTTAAACTAGAAGCAATAGCTGCAGCTTTTGTATGCTTAATTCTGCTATATGCTGGGCTTGAATTGATTGGCTGTCATTTACATGAAGATCTAGTTCACTGATGTTTCAGGCTGGCTCAGTTTGTCCTGAATTTACCAAACAAAAAAAGTAAGATACAGAAAAGCAGAGGGTGTAACCTTTAGCGCTGGGAAGAATATTGCTGTCTGGCACAGCTAATAGTCTGCGTGCTAGAAATCCATTTTAATCTCTTGTGCAGAAGAGTGAGCACTCCCTTTTGCCCTTGTGCTTTTCCGTTCCCCCCTATCTAATCCTTTGTGAATATGGCATGGATTAGATGCATTTACTCACTTAAAATTCCCCTCAGATCTGTTTATAGTAATGTGCAGACTTTCTAGTTCTGCACCCTCTACTTAAACCCATTGATAGACTTCAGATAAAATGTAAAAAAGCAGCCTTTCATTATTCCAAACAGAGATCTCTGGGAAATTGTTTTGGCAACACATTAAGAGAATTCCCAGGAGTTTTATGTCCCAGTGTTAACGATAGAGGTGAGCTTTCTGTCATCTCCTTGCCTTTTGTGCCACTGGCATAAATGCCTTTTTGCTCTTTGAACCATGTTTATATTAAAAAAAAAAAAATCATCCGCCTGACCAAATTATGGGAAGAATTTAATGTTTCTATAGTGGTCTGTGCTTATAGGTAAAGGAGGAGGGGGAGCTTGTGTGTTTGAGGTTTTTTTGAGCAGGCTGTTTTTATTATAAATGTGATTCAAAGGGTACAATTTAGTTTGGCCAAAATAAACCATGGTTCTTGGCTGAAATGAAACATTAGGTTATCTAGGCTAGACTTGTCGTACAGCTTCCTTCCCCCCCCCTCCCCAAATTCTTTGTTTTCAGATTATTTCATAACTGGATTTGAGTTCTAAGACATGAATAGTTGCACTGGAGAAAATGGGGTTAAATTTTTGTCCATGCAGAAGGCAGAGGTATGAATATAAATGAAGCTCGGTACCGGTTTTGTGTGTGTGCAAGCTACTCCCAGAAGGGACAGCTGCTTCTCCCATTTGCTTTCTTGACAGCCAGGGCCTGAGGCTTTCTATAAATAGAAAGTCATTGAGAAAATCAACAGAGCGTGAACTGCACAGCTTTGCAGGAGTTTCCACCCTTGAATTTATGGGCTATGCAGTGGCGGGGAGGAAGGGAAGACATCCCCTCTGTTCTGGGGAGGCAGATAACGCGCATCCCAGGAAAGCACTTAACTTCATTTTAAAACACCGGATCCTCCTGGCTGGAGGGCTGCATTGACGAAAGGGTGCTGGCTCCTTTTTTGTTTAATCCCCCACGCCTGTACAGGTTATGGAAGCTGTGCTGCTCTTCTCCTGGTGTTTGTGGGAAGTAACTGCATCATTGTGTCCAGGATGCCTCCTGCTCTCTTGCTGAATACAGAGCACAAGCGCCTTTATGCAAAGGGAATTCTCTATTTGCAGACCTCCTGTTTCTCCGCATTCCTTGCTTGCGGCCAGTATTTACTCCTGACTCGAAGTATGAGCATTAGCCTAACTTGTCACTTCTGCCTTAAGGAAGGATTACAAAGGTTTTGCACGGGGAAGGATCTGTTTTGGTGCTTCTTGCAGTAAAAACCAGCTCTGTGGTTACACGTAGTTTGTGCAGTGAGACCTCTGGTGATCTAACCAGTTCCCCCAAAAGGGCCACCAAGCAAGGACTGGGAAGCAGGCTAGAGGAGGCTGAAAACCAGCTTGGGTAACCTTCTGCTTATTTCCTGAAATAATTATTCCTGCAGTGAGGTAGCAGTGATCTAATAGGCGGGTATCATCTACTGTACTGGGGTGGTCAGTGCTGCGATGATACCAGCGCAACAGCTTACTCCAGGCTTTGTTTTCTCTCCCATCTACATCCTTGTACAGTGGGTGCATAAAATGGTCACACTGTAATTTCCTTCTGTGATGCTTTTGCAGTAAAATCTCATTGCTTGGTACAATTGATGGTTTGTACTGTTAATGATTTATGGAGCCTGTACCTAATACCTTAGAAGCTTCAGCCTGTCATGAAAGCCAAAGTTTATACGCCCAGCTGGGATCATGGGGAATGCCCTGCAGACAGAAGGGCTGGCATGAGACAATCCATGATGTGATAGCTCTGTGGAAGGAAGGAGATCTTTGGAGCTATTGGGGGCAGGCAGTGTGGATGTGAGAATCTGGAGGGGGTCTCACCCTGATTTGTGTCAGGCTCCCTCGCTGCCATAGCTGTGCGAGGATCCACGGTGCTGAGTCGTTTGCAGGAGCGCTGCATGGGGAGTAACTAGATTTAGAAATCTGTAGCTTGGAGTTGCTTTGTTACCTTGGAGATGGGTACAGCGAACAGCATAAGCATCCTTCCCTAACTTGGAGGGTACGGCTGCTTGTGTTGTCATCTGCAAAATGTCCATCAGTGGAGTCCTAGCTGTCCTGCATGTTTCGACAAAAGCGGCAATCCTTTTTCTGCAGCTGAAGAGAAATGGCACGTAGTCCTCTTTCCCCTAAGCTGCTGGTGGAAATATTGTGGGCTGTTTGGCAAGGATGTCAGTAGTTCTCAGCCTTTTCTGCAAGGAACTGTGATGAAATTTGTACTGCCTATTGAAGTAGCAACAGGACCAGATATTAATTTACCAAGCAGAATTGGAGAGACAGGAGTTGGGGTATGAATGGAGGTGGGAGGAAAGGGAAGGTCCCATGGGCAGATGAATATGGGGTGGGAGCTGAGACAGCACAGAAGTGATGCAGGGGAGGAGATTCCTAGCAGAACGCATGAGGAAAGCAAGATGAGTCCATGTTAGACATCATTTTACAGGTGTCACATTGCCCATATTCACCTTAGCGCAGATGTTGGTTCTCCTGTATAAGTGTTTAAAACACTTTCTGTTGCCTTGGATGGAGTCATTCAATCACCATATGCACCTATTACTCTTTACCTTATTGGCTTCGTACGTGCAGCGTTTTTAAAGCAGGAGAGGAAATTTAAACAAGCCGAGTGTGACTGCAGCCTAACAGTGCTGGCTGCCTTCAGCATTATGGACCTGTGGCCTCGCCTCTTTGGAATACAGAGATCTTGCCTCCAGGAAATCCAGGGGCAGGTAGGCAAAGGTGCTTGTTGGTAGCTCAGAGACAAAGACTTCAGTGTCTCGGTGCTTGGGTAGTTGATGTATTTCAGACCCTGGCGTAGCTGCATCAAGGAAAACCTTTCCAATGGTGATCTGCCAGATTGCTCTGGGTACCACCACTGACTTAGAGCAGGGCTGGGTGTTGTGCTAGCTAGTGTGGGCGCAAACATGCGTGGAGAAGAAAACAAAAGAGGAAGCAGTGTCAGATCTTCACTGATCCGAGGAACTGTGATCAGTAACTTCTCTCTCTTCTGCCTTTGCCTCTCCAGGCTGCAGCTTATGCATCAGAGGATGGTGTTCTTACAGAGGCCATGATTGATGCCCGGGTAGCCGATGCTGTGCAGCAACACAAACAGAAGATGGAGTGGCTGAAAACAGAGGGTGCTGAAGCAAGCAAAGGGACTGGCATAAACCCACTCCTGCCTTTTCCCAAAGGAACGCCAGTGTGACAAGTCTGCAGGCTTCAGACCAGCATGTGTGGGGAAGTGGGCACGGGAGAAAGCTTGGGAGGGTCTTTTGGGCAAATGTTTGCTGGAATCATGTGCTGAGAGAAATGTGTCTGTTGGTGCAAGAGAGGGGGTACAGCCTCAGTCTGCCTTTGACTTTATGTTTTTAAAGTGCACCAGAAAACAAAATGGTTTAAATAAGGCAGAAGCAATTGTATTAAAGGACCCCCTTGCTGAAATACCACTGACTGTGTTAGTCTGTATGGCCTGTCCTGTTAGAGAGGCCCAAACTCCAAATCCTTTTCAGCTGTTTGGCACTGTTCTGGAGTGTCCCAGTGACATGGGCCTGTGGGAACCCAGGGCCTGTCCAAGCCTGCTACTCCCACAGATTTGGCTTTGCAGGGTTTATGCTCCAGCAGAGGGATTTCTCATCTTTTCCACAGGTCCTGCCCATGACACGCCTCTGTGCTCACATCTCTGTATGGCATCACTCCTTGCTCTCTTCTCGTCCCCCCTTATAGACTCAGGGTACACTTTGTGTTACAGGGGTGTATTTGGTGTAGTTCACAGCTGCGCCTGGTTGACTTGGAGTCAACACTTAAGAGAAACTACAGGGGTGCAGTGGGTTGGCTGATGAGCACTGGGACTTCCCTTGTGATGTGGCTACACCCACTGGTGCCTGGCTGCTGCCTTTTGGCTTCTCTGTGCTTGGGTCCCCTGGAGGATGGCTGTAGAGCCAGCCTGCAGTGGTACACTGCAAGGGACTAAAAGCTCTGGAGCATGCCTCCTCAGCGCTGAAGCACCAAGTGTTCCAAGCCTGAGAGCTTTTGTGCCCCTCCAGTGTAATATTGTGGGATACCTGCACGCACTCCCTGTGGATCACAAAAGGTTATTTGAACTGCAGTGGAACGACTGGCACTTCCTATAGCAGCGTCTTGAAAGCACGGCTCAGGATGCTGAGCTGCTGCAGGAACCGCTGCTTCCCAGGTTCCGATGGGTCTGGTCTGACTGTACAGCCCACAGTGCTTTGTTTGCTTTCCCCAGCCCTAGATTATTTAAAAATCTCTCTCTTTAAGGAGGTGAGTAGGCAAGGCTCAGTAGGTCTGTCTGCCGTATGGGTGTCCAGCATGGTCTGAAGACAGAGAGAGATGAGTGGGGCTTGTTTGCTCCTGGCTGCTGCCATCAAGCTGCTCTTGCTACCCAAGTCTTCTGCTGCATTTCTGGAACAACTGAGAAATGTGCCACTGTCAAGTGATGAACACATGCCTGTCTCCATCAGCTGCTATTTGTTCTGTCTGCGTGCAGATAAGAGAGAGGTCAGAAAATCTCTTGGTTTTTTTCTGAGTTTGAACTGGATTTGAACTCTGTGCTCTGCTCCGAGTCCCCTTCTGTAGCTACACTATGCAAGCACATTTGCCTGACCTAAATCTGTGCCCTTGAGTACCTTGCTGAGATGTTCTCCTTTGACAGGAACCGACAGCAGCCTCTGCTGTGGCCATTTCACTGGTGGCTGTTACTGAGCTTTGAGAGATGCAGCCTGACAAGAGCTTGTGCGCATGGGAGCGGAACAGGGCTGGTCACCAGGATCCTCGGAATGGGCAGCCTTGTGGGACACCAGGACAGAAATAGTTCTTGAGGCTGCAAACCTTCACTGTCTTGAGGTGCCATTTTCTCTCAAAATAGTTCTCTGATATTTTCCCCTGGATGCCAAAGCAGAATTTGAAGATGCCTTTTAGAAGCTGCCCCTTTGCTAAGGACGGGTGTCCCGCAGCAGTAGTGTGTGCCCAGACTTGCTTGCCCCGCTAACGCTTCTTGCAAGGTACCTTGCTGTGGGAAGGGAGGAATCGCTGTACAAACTGAAGCTGCGTACTCCAAATGACTGAAATAAACTTCAATGCCATTTTTTTTATCTCCCCTTCAGCCTACGTGTAGTTGTCCTTTAGTCCGCTGAGGGCACTGAGGATTCGCTGTTCTAGGCTTTCCCCTTCCTATTTAGATTTTACTAGAATTACATTTCTGTTGGGCCCCAGGAGATGGAAGGGAGCTAAGCAGAGCCAGTCTCTACTACACAACCCTCGCTAACGAATTATGTGAGGGAGCTGTCTGATGCTGTGTGATTAAAATCTCTAATTGTGATACCCACCTTCAATACTTCCCCCCTCTTCTATAATCATCTCCATGAAGCACAAAATGAGCTGGGGGAGGGGAAAGGTACTGTGTCTTGTCCTTATGCTGTCTGACTGCGCTTTTGCTGATACCGAGAGCTGGGAAGAGAATCCTGCTGTAAAGCTGCGTGGAAGGCGCAGCAGTTGCTGTCTCAGCAGTTTCACGCGATTCCTCCTTCAGATTGCATCAGGTCCCTCCGTGGAAGCAGAGGGAGCGCAGTGCTTGGGATGCAGCTACGACCCGTGCTTCTGTGCTGTGCAGCGGTGATTAATTGCAGGGTCGGGAGATCAATTAGCTAGAAGTGGCCTCTCGCTGTGGCAGGGAAGGCAGCAGGGAGCTGACCTAAGGGTTTGCAGGTTTGCCTGAGTACAGGAATACTTCCCGCTGAGGTTTTAAGGGCTTTCAACAACCGCTTAATGATGGATGCCACTGGTCCTTACCTGAGCTTTGCTGCCTGGGCTTCACAGGGATGGAAAGGACTTCTCTCCTGAAGACGGACGCATGGGTGCTTTTGAGAACACGCGGATGCCTTAGCATTTCTGGCGCGTATTGAGCCGTTGCGCTGGTGTGACTCGCCAGCCGGTGCTGCTTTTGTCCCAAGGGGCAAAGTTCTTTCCCCTTCTTGTGCAGCCTGGGAGATGATGTGCTCTCCACTAAGTCTGTTTTCTTTAGTTTATTTTCCTTTAAAAGGTAGGGGAGGGGTAAGCAGAGACATCTCTATACTAGGAACTTACTCCTAGGAACAGGGCTCTTTAATACACAGAACTTGTCTTGTGCATCTCAACCTCCCTTCACTCTCAGAAATCCTCAATCAGCTGGCCAGAGCTTTGCACATCTGTGCTCTTCACGCTTTGTCAGCAATGTGTTGCAGGCTCTCGTGTCACCCTGGTGCCAGCTGCAATCCCAGGAGTGGAGCGCTTCAGGGCTCACTTGTTTTCTTCCCTCTGGTCACAATCTCCCTCCCCAGCCCCTACCTGGTAGGTTGTGACAGCACCTACGTGTCTGAAATTCGCAGTGGGTTCTCATCCTCCTTTCCAGAGAAGCTCGTGGCTCTGGGCAGAGCAGGCACATCCCCCAATCCCCTTCTGAGCAATCCCTGTTAATATAATGCCTAGAAGTCCACAATCACGTCTACCTTTGGCAGCAGGGGAAGGACTTTGCACCCAGCCCAGTAGCTTGGATACCTCATTTATCAAACTCTTGCTGGATGATGGAGGTCTGTCTTCCCACCTGTGAAGAAGAGAAGGAGGTGGCACCTAGGCTGGAAAAAAGGAGCAGAAAAAGGACATGGAGCAGAAAAGCCAGAGATGAGCCTGATTCAAGAGGGTTGAGGAGGGTTGCGGTGCTACATCTGTCGGGCAAGGCAGGTAAGGAGTGGCAGAGGTGGTGTGGACAGCTTGTTTTGCTTGGGTCCAATCTTCCAATCCAGTTGTTTTCATCTCTTCCCACGGCATTGAAAGAGTTGCATGGCTTCCGCTTGTACAAACTGATGCTATTTGTTCTTCCCTAGCAGTGTTTTGGGAGCTGGTGGTGTAGGTTCCAGCCAAATATTCCCCTGTTTGAGCTCAACATCCTTGTGTTCTGGTTAGTGGCATGGGGAATGCTGGGAACGTGTGTAGCGGATGCATTCTGCAGTTCTGCATCGGGTCGGTCTTAGTGCAACCTGGAACAACTGTCAGGCTTGAAAGTGCTGCTTTTTTCAGTGTTGCCACTTCATTTTTTTTATTTCCACAGGAAATAAAGTTCTCCATCCGTTCTCTCACACTTGCACACTACTCTTCCTTCCTTCCCATCATGTGCCATGGGCTGTTGGACTGATGAAGCCAGCTCTCTCGATGTGTCCCAGGCACTATTGCTCTCTAAAGCCTGCCTTTCAAAAGAGATTCCTTGTCCCTCTTGCTATGCACGTTGCTCCTAGCCACCGGCGAGGTGATTTCATGCCCTACTGCCTGCTGAATGGCTGTGCCATTTGCTGTCGCTGCTGCTGCTTGTCTGGAATAGGACAGGAAAGGAGAAAAAAAAGCCACCTGCCATGGTTCGACTCCTGCCTCATCAAAGATTTAAATGCAGGGCCTGTCACCTCTGCCAGCCTCATCAGTAAGTTTGGTTTGCTGGCAGCTCACAGGATGAACGATGTCCCTGTGGAGGTGGCACCCAGGTAGCTATTTGCTAACACTCCATGCAGGGATATAGGACGGCATCCCCAGGCTGAGGTTGTCTCCTCTCCATGACACTGAGTGAGTTACGAGCTAATGGCACTTTATTAAAATAGTATTTTGGATTGGAGAGCAAATCTAACAGCAGATGGATTAGCGAGCAATCCATCACTCCCCGACTGCACCGCTGCCAGCTGAAACGCCTTCTCTGCGCTTCAGCATTGCAGCTGGGAGACAGATTTATAACGTGGTCATCTATCTACTCCCAGTTGCCATCCATTAAAAGTATTTACTTTTGAATGTGGTACTCGGGGAGGGAAGTTCCACCGTGCAGGTACAAGGATGCAAGCGCCGCGTGCTTTCTCACCAGTGCCTGTCCTGTGCTGCAGGAGTTACGGGAGACGGGAGCCTCCCCGGGAAGTATTTCCCTGCCAACCTGTGTTTGTGTTTTGAATGGAGAAGAAATACTGAGATTCTTTTATAATCCATCATCTGTGGCTGTTTCTATTGTGTTGCAACATTATTATTCTCTCTATATGTTTGGTTTGGTTTGTTTTATTGCTTGAAAAGCGGCAAATTGGTTAATTTGGCCTGTAATGCAAGTCACTGGCCTGCCCTGGGAAGCTTTGCCACTCCAGGAGGTTCTTTGCTTACGGAAGGCAGCCCATCTCCTGCAGGCAGTGACTGAACGCTGTTGGCACTTGGATGTAAGCAATGGGGATCTGTTGGAGGGATCCTGACAAAAACACGCCAGCGTTCGCTGTTTCCTATGGGTGGCTCGGCTCTGTGTTCACCTGGCGTGCAACCTGCCAGGGCTGCGCCTTCCCTGCCGGAGGATTCTCCTCTCTTGGGCTTCTCTTACAGCCACGCACAGCCCGTCGGTGCCAGTGCAGCTCTAAGGCCTAGACAGGAAAAAGCACCTCAAAAGAAACCAAAGCAAACCCAGGAGATTGCCCATAGCAAACCCGTCTGTAGGTGAAGAGCTGGAGGACAGTGTGGCTGCAACAAGACGGGGATTACCGCACAAACAGCGGAGGTGCAAATGGGCACACGTGGGCAGGCCAGTGGCTGCGTGTCAGCTTTTGGCAGGTGATGCAGATACGGTCCCAGGGTATCTCGAGAGGGGCAGGTGATGCAGATACGGTCCCAGGGTATCTCGAGAGGGGCAGGTGATGCAGATACGGTCCCAGGGTATCTCGAGAGGGGCAGGTGATGCAGATATGGTCCCAGGGTATCTCCAGAGGCAGCCCAACTGTGCAACTGCATCACTTGCGGAGCAAGGAGCGAGGATGCAGTCTGAGGGCTAATTTTAGGTCAGCCATCCTGCAGGAATTTCACAAGCCAAAAACAACAGTGCAAAAGCCTTCCTCCAATGGTTACCTCTCCACCCTGCTTCTCTTGCAACCTCCAGGCTGTTCATGATGTGCATCCCTGAGCTGGTGTTTTCACAGGCTCCTGGCTCTGCTGGACCTTGCGATTTGGCCAGCATCTCTCCCACCCATCAGCCATTCAGGCATTGGGATAAGGCAAAGTTTGCCCATCTGACCTGCAGCAGAAGAGGGACAAAAGGACTTCAATCAACTGGATGCTCAGTGAGTGTCACCAGGCTGCTTCACTCATCTCTTCTTACCACACACCGAGAGCAGAGGTTGGTGCCTGGTGAAGGACAGGTATGGGTCAGCTCTTGCTTTGCATCACCTGGGACAGTGTATCGTTGCTGGCTGGTTTTCCTTCCCTTTTCCGTGATTCCTTGAGGTAGCACAGCCTTACCAAATCGTGGTGACATCTTCTGATACATGGCATCTCCTGGAATAAAGCTCTAGCAGCACTACGTGACATTATTTTTATAAGGTGTGGAAAGGGGAGCAGTGCATGGGTAGCTCAGAGAAGTCCCCAGGCAGTCCTCCAGCTCTTGCCTTATCTCTCATTGTTCTCACCTCAACAGAAGCCAGATCATCCGTCTCTGGTGCTGGCCATTTTTACCCCCAGACATAATTTGAGTTGCCAGCGCCTGCAACTATCAGTCACTTCCATGACAACAGCTCTCTGCCTTGCTGCCTGGGTGGGTTTTTTTTTTCCTCTCTCCTGCTGTGGGTTTTATTCTTGTTGTGGGGGTTTCTTTGCTTGGGTGTTGGGTTTGGGTTTTTTGGTTTGTTTTTTTTTATTGCTGCTCTGCTTTCACATAGTGTCTCCACCAAGCCTGGTGAGATGTGCCTGGATTTGCCCAGAGACTCCTAGAACAACTCGTGCATTGGCACCTCTGCACGTAAGGGCTGATGTCCTGCTCAGTGCCAAAGTCGCTCTGTTTGCGTTTGTGTGGTCCTGCCCCGGGAGAGGAAAGAGCAGGCTGAAGAGTGTTAAAGGACTGGTTCATGGTGGCAGATTTTGGTACTGCTGGAATGGGAAATGACCTCTCCTCGTCCGTGCCAAAGCCCTCGGTTCCCTGTACCCTGCCTGCCCTCCTTGCCCTTGCCGCAAAAGGCAAGAGAGGCCCATGCTCCTCTCTGGAGGTAGCTTGCACCCAGAATTTGGCTTTTACAGTAAAATATTTATCTTCTTTAATCAGTTTTAGACCTCAGTGCTTCCCTGTGTTCGCAGTGAGCGGGAGACAAGCAGGCGAAAATCTGGGACAGTATCCTATGATGCCACATAACCTGGGGGAAATCGCACAGCCCTTCTTCGACGTCAGGGCCGGGCGCAGCTTTGGCCTCACGCCGTGGCTGCACCTCCGTACCTCCTCCTCGCCGAAAGCCCTGCCCGGGAGCCGAGCTGGCAGCCTGCAGCTCTGCGGTGCCCCCAGCAGCCCTCGGACTCCGACCCCCGGGGCGTCCGTCGGTGCAAAGGGTTGGAAAAAACACTCAGATGCAAAACATGCAAAAAACTATTTTACTGACAAACAGCAAAGGACGGGCTTCGTTTCAGGAGCTGAACTGGTTATCTATTATACAAACATATTATTGAAAGGGAAGGAATGGCTGAAATACACTCACTCATTGACCCAAATAAAATCACAGTGTGCTTTTTCTATTGCCTCCCCCACCCCCCAGCTCTCTGCGGCCTTCGGCTGCTCCCCTTGGCTTCAGCATCGTCACCGCTCCCAGCGCGGCCGCCGGAGAGCACAAACTGTAGGTGACATTTGCCTGCGCAAGTGTATTTAATAAAAAAATTAGCCATTATTGCTTTTCAACCACAGTAGAGATTATTCTATGATTAGACTCGGAGCAGAGTATAATCTCCCTCTCTCTCTGTTAGTATCAACGTGTGTTTACCTCCTCCTGCCTGCTGCATGCAAAATTGGTTTGAGTGCAGGAAAAAGAAAAGAAGGATTAGCAATCGGGGCAAACAGCACGCCTGGTTTGTTCTTGTATTCTCACTGCAGAGCACTATTGGAAAAAAAAAAAACCAGTCTTCCTAAACTGCACGCTCTGTCCTGCGAGGGTTTCCAACCCCCTCAGTTGTCATGAGCTGGGGGTGCTCAGCACCTCGCAGGATGGAGCCATCCTGGTGTCACCCCTCTGCGGAAATCCTCGGCCTGAAGAGGGGACTAAAACCAGCAACCCTACTGGAAAAGAAACGCGTGCAAACGAATGGGAGGTACTAAAGAGGAGGCGCAGGCGTCATGCAGCGAACACATGATGGCACGCACAGGTACAGACACACAGACGCACACACGCAACACTGGAAGGGCATCCCGAGAGCCCAGCCGGGGTGCGGCAAACTGGGCTGCCCGTGGAGCCCCTCCTTACGCCTGCCCGCGTTCCCCCACTCCTCTGCTTCCGTCCCCTTCGCCCCAACAGCCCGCCGGCGCGGAGGCTGCAGGCCCAGCGTCTTTGCGTGTTTTCTTCAGTAAGTTCACTCGCTTCTTCGTGCTCTCCTGGGCAGCGCGGTGAGCCGGGCTGGCCAAAGAGGAGAACTCATCTTCACTCCATCCTAAGGCAGAACCAGCAGTCCTGTGTCCCCGTTGAACAGGTAACGCCCTGTCTGCCCCCTACCCTGCATCCCATCGCCCGTCACCGAAGCATGCGCCCATCTCACCAGCGTACGCAGTGTTTTGAGCCAACTGTCTGTACTGTGTGCTCTCGTAATAGAAGTGCTTCTACTCTTTTACATCCAGAGGTGCTCTGGGAGCTTCTGTTGGCTCTTTCTACCTTCAAAGCCCCCTGAATGCAGAAGAGGCCTTCGTTACCTCCATGTTCACCCCACACACGCTCTTCATCAAGGCCACGCTGAATGTTAAACCACCGCTGTGAAGTCTGAAGCAAGACTGAGGCTCCCTGTGTCATTTATCGCCTGCAAGCCTCCACCCTTCACCTTCCCTCGTAGGAAGGCTAAACATTGCCTTCCCTTTTCCAGGGGAGCCAGTACACGTGAGATGTTTCCTTCACAACGTGCTTTCTCCTGAGCTGGGGAACGACCTTGGATCAGGACTTCCCTTGCTGGCTCCCCCAGGGCTTTCTCCTGCCCAGGCTCACCTAGACCCTATCCAAGGTAAAGGCTACTGATGTTGGTGTTTGCACCGTCTTGCAGCATCAACTCTTGGTCTGTTGCAAAGCTTCAGCTCACCTGACGCCATTCGCATGGCATTATTTTTATTTTTTTCTTTTTTATTTTCACAGAATGGTTGAGGATGGAGTTCACCTGTCCCAACCCCCTTGCTCAAACATGGCCAACTAGAGAAGGCTGCCCAAGACCATGTCCCGTTGGCTTTTAACTGTCTCCAAGGATGGAGACTCCGCAACTTCCCTGGCAACCTGTCCCAGTGCTTGGTCACCCTCACAGTTTAAAAAAAAAAAAAAAAAAAAAAAGTGTTTCTGATGTTCAAGCAGAACCTCCTGTGTTTCACTTTGCCCATTGCCTCTGGTCCTGTCACTGGACACCACTGACAAGAGCCTGGCTCCATCTTCTTTGCACCCTTCATTCAGGTATTTATATACATGGATCCCCCTGAGCTTTCTCTTCTCTAGGCTGAATAGTCCCAGCTCTCCCCCCCTTTCCTCACCAGAGAGATGCTCCAGCCCCTTAATCATCTTAGTGGCTCTTTTTAGTATCCCTTCTTACCAGGGATTCTCTTCTCCCAGCTGAGTGCAACTGGAAAATGAGGTAGAGAATAGCAGTGAGAGTAACTAAAACCACCCCACCACGCTGTGAATGCCTGGGCCGTGCATTCTGGGCGCTCTCCTGGTCTTTTACTGTTTATTGATAGGTGCTGCCAGATACTTCAGCCAGGCTGGGCCAGCTGATGTGTCCCTGGCTGGCTCAAGGGCTAGCTGAGCAGTGGCCGGGCACGGTGGATGGCTGGTATCACAGGAGACACCTTCCCAAACTGTTCCTCGGAGGGGAAGGGCCCTTCTCACTGTGTCAGAGCAGCAGGCCAAAGACGCATGCATAGACCTGGGTCTGCTCCAGGCTACACCTGAAATCCCACACGTGGTGGCTTTGGGCTCTTCCCTTCCTCTCGTTCCTGAAGCAATGGGCAGCTCTGCTCGCCCCTCCCTGCTACAGCCTTTCTTGCACTGACGGTGAATTTGGCCTCCAGCCGCAACTCCCTTCCCCGTGCCCATCCTGCGGTGGAAGGACAGATACCAGATAGGAAGCAAAGTGGAGGAGGCAACCAGCTTGACAGGCCTGGTCGTTAATGCGCGGCTCTCCTGGGGAGAAGGAAGGTGGTAAGAACAGAAAGAAGGTTGGCATGGAAGGGCTTGAGCTTTACGCTGCCTTCGGGGCTCTCGCTGAGGGGCGAGGGCTGGTAAGTGGCTGCTTGAATCTAAAAAAAGGAGCTACTTGTTGAGCCAATGGATGTCACAAGCTTGTCTCCACCTTTCCACACCTCTCCTCTGCAACAGATCCCAACCCCCAGCACGCGCCCATTCGGTGCGCAGGCAGCCAGACCTGGGCTCCTGACACCAAAAATGCAGGAGAACGTTTCCAGCACCCATCCCAGCTCTGGAGAATCGGCACGTACAGTTTGAAGCTCTGGCTCTGCTCTAAAAATAGCCCCTCCTGAGGCGGCACAAAATTTCCCCCCCCCCCCAACCATCTAATTCTGCAGAAGCCTCCCTCAAAGCATCTGGCAGACGAGCGCTAAGGCACGGCGCACGCTTCCCACTCCCTCGTCCCTGCAGAGCTGCCGTTACAGACACAGCTGCCAGCTGTAAAGCTTTGCAACCCCACGTTTTTCTCTTCCACAGGTTCTGACCGGTAGCTTGCCCAGCCCTGACCTTGTTGTGTCAGCTCCCTGATGCCAAAATCACTTCCTCCCAGCTGAACCCCCCTGCCCCCTTTTTTTTTTTTTGTTTGGGGCTGTTGCTGGGTTTGGGTTTTGTTGTTGTTGTTTCAATCTGTGGTTTTTTTGCATGTGACGACCGGATCAGAGGCAAGAGAACAACAAACGAGTCAACACTGGTACATCTCAGACGCTTAAACAAGGAGAAAAACACCCCCCAACAACCAGACAAAAGCAAAACGAACACATGCACGGGAGAAGAAGACAGTGCGACGGCAGACTGTACAGACAACCGAGCTGCGAGCAACAGTAGCAACCTCACTTGGACAGAGGAACGAGAGAGCACAGCGCCGGAGGGGGTTGGTAGAGCTCACGCCTCGAGCAGGATCAGCTGAGGGCATGGGACAGGGACGCGAGCACCGATGTCAAGCGGAGAGCAAGCAAGGGCTGCTTGGGGCTGTAAAATTCTGGCGCCGGGGTCCTGCAGAACTCGAAACACAGCTGCCTTTCCTGCCTTCTGCTTCCCTGCGGGGCCTCGTCGGCTCGTTCCCCAGAGAGGGGACGTGGCAGCCACTTGGCTGCTGGGAACAAGGCATCTTCTGCACGCTACCACGGGTTAGATGGCACACGGGCCCCGGGCTGCCCCCGGGCAGGGAGTGCTCGCTGCTGCCGCCTGACTCGGTGCACAAGGTTATCCGGAGCCAGCCAAGAGGCATGTTCCCATCTCGGTTACGTTGGGTCAAATCTACAGCAGCTTCCTAGACTCAGAGGAAGAAGGCGCCTGGCACCGGGAACCCACCCTCGTGGCTTGATTGAGCCAGCTGTTTGGCATCGCCCCTGCACGGAAGATGCACCAGATCCCCTGGGGCAGGGATAGGACCTGGCCTTACTGCATGGGAAGGCACTTTGCTCCTCATCTATTAAGGATGAGAATCAAAGGCCTCGTCAGTTCCCCGGAATTAATCCCACTGGTTTAGTGTGTGCTGGATCAATCCTTGCTCTACAAGGGTGTTTCTGGTTTCCTTGCATTTAAGACTGGTGAATTACTCCCAGTAAATTTAATTGCACCGAGAGTACTTTATTTTTTGACTAAGTGTAAACAAGAGCGAGGCTCACAAGGTAACAGCTCCAGATACAGCAGATTAAAAAAAAAAAAAGTCTGTTCTTAAACAAGGGGAATATGTGCCATACTGGATTTTTTTTTTTCCTCTCTCTTTCAGAGCCTCGTATTTTTCTGAAATTCTGGCGTGGATCGGACTTAATCAGTGTGAGACATCGCTTCCCTCTTTCCAGTTGTAACTTCCATATTTAATGATATTTCAACTAAGGTCAGTTGCTAGAGCAGGGCAGAACCAGACTTTCAATTCAGTCTGGGTTTAGGTCACTGCCTTAAGCCTCTCCTGGGAGAGGCTCCAAGTGGAAAAATTATTTAAAGTGCTTCCCCCCCCCATAACTACTTCCAGAGCCTCATTCTGTCCTTATCATGATGGAATTTTCTCCCTTGCAAAGCATGGTTCCACCTGAAGACAGGTCCATGACATGTACGTGGTTTCTAACACAGTGCCTGTTCTTCACTGCCAGCGAAGCCTGTGCCATGCACGGGGGCAACCGGGCCGGCCGTCTGGCCAGCTCTCATCGGGCACGGTGGGAGTAATGTGCCACTGAAGGGAGCGTCCCGTGCCGCTGGAGGATGAGCCCATCTGGGCAAATGCACGAAGCTGCTACAGGGAGGGAGGCTGGAAAGCCGCCTGTCTTGGAAAGGAGCTGCTGAAGGAAAAGTTGTTCTTTAGGTACCAATGGGTGGCTGCAGGCATTGCAACCACAGGAATGACAGAAAGCCAAGCAGACAGACAGAAGTATAGACCGGGCAATTAGTTAGGCCTAGACAGAAACTGGGGCTCCAAGACAAGAGGCGCTAGGGAATAGGAAAGGTAGGAATGGCAGAGAACCAGGCATGGTTGGATCTTGGCCAGCTTTGGGACTTGTAAATAACTGAACAGATCCTGGGCATAGGAAATGATGGAAAAAAAAAACCAAAACCAAAAACAAACCCGAGAGACAGAAGCTGAAGCAGGGAGGAAAGGAGCAGGGAGTCATGGTGTCCTTTTCCCTTCACAGACGTTGCAATCAAACATAGGAGGCCATCAACAGAGTCAAGGAATCCATAGAAGAGAACAGCAGTTTCTGATAATACCCATCATCCTTTTCTTCTGGATGTTTTCCCTACTTACTTAAGCACAAGCCCACTCAATACAAAATGATGAATGAAGGAGAAATTATCGGGATTCAGGGCTACCACCTGAAATTCTTGGGGCTAGCGTCTCCCTCCCTTACCCCTCTCCATGAAGTTCTCTCCCTTCAGGGCTGCTGCTCGCTGCTCCCCAGCACCTGCAAAAGCGAGGCAGCCTGGGCGCGTTTGCTTCTCTCCCCCAGCAGAACAGGACTGCTGCAGGAATCGGGCACCACCGTGCTGTCTGGGCACACGGGGGCTTTATTGGGCAACTCTGGATGTGAAGGAGGGCTCTGGATGTGGAGCTTGGTTTCAGACACTTGCTAGCTACCTCGAAACCCACACCTAAGCTGCGACCAGGGGAAGCAAAGGCAAAACCATGTTAGAGCATCCTCGTACTTTGCTTCAACCCATTACTGGCACATTTGACCCTGTAGATGGGTTTGGCTTCAGGCCCACGTCTCGCCGTGGTCCTCAAGCCAAGCCCAGCCGGCTGCTGAAGCGCTCCTTCAGCTCGGAGCAGTAGCACGCGATCGGTGGCTGTTCATGCTCAGGAAGAGCGAGGCTGTTAACAGGACCCTCTCGCTGCCCCGTCCGTGTTTTTGGGGTGGGATCCGCCACGGCCTCAGGCTCACCCTCCAAGAACGGGGGGAGAGCAGCTCCTTTCCTCCCAGGTGAGGGGGCAGGGGGGTGGTGTTGTGCAGCAGAGGGGTACGGGCAGGGTGCAAGTCAGATCTACCACCACTCCACTCAGGACATTTCTCCCCGCCTATCAGGAGCAACTCCTCGCTAGCATTAGTGAAGAACAACAGCACCGACACCAGCAAGGCACCACCAGTACAGAAGTGGTGTAAACCAGGCAGCACCAGCCGCGCCAAACGGACTGACACCTTACAGTACTGTTCCCTTGGCACTAACGTTACCCAGATTGCTTAAGGCAGGTTTCAGTGTATAGCAATGCAAACAACAAATCAGTTATATATTCCCAGGACTTTCTTCCCCCACAGCAACTCCCCCAAACAGGAACCAAAGCAAAAGGGACGCTGCGCCTTCCCGACCCGCTGGCAGCAGTCCCCATCCAAACCTGTGACCGGCCAAGCCATTCTAGCAACGGGAGGAACAGAGCAGAGCAAAACCAAGCCAAAGGACCAAAGAAACGGGGGACTTGAGCTCTTGGATGAGAAACTCTGCATCATCTTCATGTTGTCCCACCTCCATACCCTTGGCCAACATTCCCCGTAGGGTAGCTGGATGTGCAGGACAGCCGTGAATGCCAGGAAAAGGGGGTTGAAAGTATAATGCAAATACCTTTTCTTTTTGTTTGTTTTTGTTTGTCTGCTTTTTACATATATACACAAGTCTGACAATAAAATGTGGAACACAGTGCAATGTCTTGGCTGCGTAGCATCCAGGACTGGCTTAGTTGTGCATCATGGTGTGCCGCAGGGACACACAGGATGGGGAAGTAAAATTGTGTCCTCGGCTGGCTTCCATGGAGGAGCAAACTAGTAGCTGTTCCCCTGGAAGAAGAGCAAAGTCCTTTTTAAAACCTCACTGCAGTCTCTGGAGGGGAAGGCATTCCTCAGAGGTGCCGTGGGCTTGGGTGCCCATTATGGTACAGCTTCTGTTTGATGTGCACCATGTTCCCAGTCGCCTCCTCATACTGCCTGTGGTGACGTTTTCTGAACTCCTTTAAGTTACAAAATTTTGGAATCCAAGACCAGGAATTGTCTGGAAGGCAGAAAGGAGAAGGAAGATGAGATATTACAGGAAAGGTGAGACCCGTGTCCTCCTGCCTTGCCTAGCCTTGTTCCTGGCCGGCCCCGCAGGAATCCGGCACCAGCACGGCCTCGGCAAGGCCACCCTCGGGGCTTCCCTTCAGACCACGCTCACCCCCCAGCCAGACCTCGTGCCTCGGCTGTGGCCACAGCACTGCCCACTCCTCTCCCAGACTGGGTACAGCCCGTGCCCGGGACACAACCAGCAGATACCACCCCCCCCAGCCACGACCCTGCAGACATGGAAAACCTGCTATGGGAACAGCTCATTTTGGGAGGGGCATGGAGGGGCTGCACCGGCCCATCACGACAGGGAGGGTGGGAGTTAGAAGAGGCCAACGCCAGCTTTCTGCTCCTTGCGATAAGCCCTATCCGCCAGCCCTCCTTGTGCCCTACGCTCCGATGGCCAGGCTGACGGTAGGGGCGAGCTCCGGTACCCTCATCCCGATCTCTGCTGACCTCTGTAGCTGCCAGGGAGCTGCTCTGGGGACCAAGCTGCCAGGGACACAGCAGCACGCTGCTGCTGCCGCATACGTAGCATCCCTGTTCCATCCCACAGAATCACAGAATCCCAGCATGGCAAGGGTTGGAAAAGACCTCGGGAGCTCACCCAGTCCCACCCCCCTGCCCAAGCAGGCTCACGCAGAGCAGGGGGCACAGGACTTTGTCCAGGTGGGCTTTGAATATCTCCAGAGAAGGAGACTCCACAGCCCCCCTGGGCAGCCTGGGCCAGGGCTCCGTCGCCCTCAAAGTCAAGAAGTTCTTCCTCATATTCAACTGGAACCTCTTCTGCTTCAGTTTGTGCCCATTGCCCCTTGTCCTGGCGCTGGGCACCACTGCAAAGAGTCTGGCTCCATCCTGGTGACACCCACCCTTAAGATATTGGCCAAGCCCACGGGCCAGCAGCACAAGCCACTTTCTGCCCCACAGCCAGTGCAGGCTGGACGCTGTCATCATTTTTTTTTTTTTTACCCGGTGTTGCAGCTCTCAGCCCATGAACCTTTCCCTGTAGCGACGTTTCAGCCACCGTTCAGTTTCATGAGAGCTTTGGGCCATTCCACACAGAAATCCACACCCAGCCTGAGCCCACAGAGGAGAATCTGAAAGTCCCAGAGCACGACAGATTGGATAACGTTGAACTCTTCAACTAGCACGAGGGGCTATGCGACTGCTCTGAGCAGCTCTGCAGCTACTATCAAGCACAAGCCGATGTCTGAGCTTCTATAGAATATTTTCTATTTTAAGCAATCTCTTCCATGGGGAAGGAGCTATTGGTTATTCTGACAGATCAAAACTGAAGCCGATCAGGCCACAGTGTGACATTGAGTCACTGCTGAGTGGTACTTACGTGTTTCAGGGAGGGCTCTACATTCTCTACCAGCACAGGATTTTGTATTACCCCTACCCCAATCTCTCAGTCACAGGCACCATTTCTGTCTTTAGAAGGGAATTGTAGCCTAGGTACTCGTTCAACAAAGAAATAGGTATCCTTTCTGCGTTCTCTTTGGGCAGAACAGTTCAAGGCATGTGAAAAACCTTTACTGGAAAGAGCCAGCATGTCCCATTGCACCATACACACTGGAAACCACCCACAGATTAGGTGGGGAGGGCTTCCAGGGTCTCTTCTACCACACATTTGATTGTGAGGGCACCGGTGTGCTGGGTCAGGCTGTGATGGAATGAATTCTCCTCGTAGCAGCCCTCACGGTGCTGTGCTTTCTATTGGTATGCAGGAAGGGGTTGAGGACCCACCGGTGTTTTGGTGACTGCTGAGCAGTGCTCACACAGCATCAAGGCCATGTGTCCAACATCCCCACCACCAGTGGTCTTGGGAGGGGACGTAGCCAAGACCCCTGACCCAAACCGACCAAAGGGATATTCCACACCATATGACATCGGTATAAAAGCTAAGGGAAAAGGAGGAGGGAGGGGGGGCATTTGGTTTTTACGACATTTTGTCTTCTGGAGCAATTGCTGTGCACACGGAAGCCCTGCTTCCTGGGAAGTGGCTGGGCATCGCCTGCTAATGGGAAGTAGGGAATAAAATCTTGTTTTCCTTTTGCTACCACGTGCAGCTTTGCTTTTGCCTTTACCTTGACCCACGAGTTTGGTTTGTTTTTTCTTTTCCATCTCCTTTTCTCCCCGCCTGCCCTGCTGAAGAGGGGAGGGATGGAGCGGCTTGGTGGCACCTGGCGTCCAGCCAAGGCCAACCCATCACAACCGGGTTGTTAATTGAGCTGGGAACGGTGCAAGCACACAGGTAGGGTACAACCAACCTGGTTTAAGAACAGCCTGGTCCCGTGAGGCTGGTGCACCACCACTAAGAGGGCACGAAGAGCCCATGCCTGAGGCAGAGGGGGTGTCAGCCTCCCGCACCGCGCAAGGGCGCTGCCAAAGGGGCTGCTAAGGGAAGAAAAAGCTGGGTGCAAAGTAATACAGCCTTCATTTGCTGAAAAGATGGATTGCGCAAGATAATGCACCGTTGGCCAACCCTTTCTTAAAGCCTTAGCGCATGCATGCACAGGGAGAAAAAAAGAAAGAAAGAAAGAAAAAAGATCATTCAGCTTAAATACTAAATTAATTACTAGCATGACCCTTAATCACTAAAAATAAAAATCTGTGTGGTATCCGTTCACAAGCAGGTAGGTCAGCTGGCGATATCACCACTGCAGCTCGCCGCTCCGTAAGGAAAGGCAACAGCTCTGAAGAACAATATTGCTGGACTCAGAGGCTCCAGCATCTCACCCAAGGACGGCTCTTGCCAGCCCTGCTGACTTCATGAGCGCCGAAGAGCTCACGGCCACAGGTGGTCTGATCCAAACCAGGTGTCACAGCCTCAGGATTGGCTCGGTACCTTAGATCCCCCACTGGAAACGCTGACAATGAGCCTTCTGCTTGGGAAATGGCAGCAACACAGCCTCAAGAGAGCCGCGATTCAGAAACTGCCCAAGCAGGCAGCTGGGGATTTGGGAAGACTAATGAGAAATTAATATAATCTTGACCTGAGTTTTTAGAAAGAGATAGTCCATGTCCCTAATTAGAATGCCGTACAGGTTTACAGATAAATCTTTCTCTTGCTCGCTCTCCTTATCCTCTGAGTTGTAATTGAACAGACCCCATCAGCCAGAGTGGGAGAGACTGAGATTTGTAGGGACACTGCTACAGAATTTCAAGTCATTCACTATTTTAATAGTTTTTCTGCCTCTTTTTGCCCCCCAACAATTCAAGACCATGGGATGTCCATGCTGAGAGAGCAAAGGGGCAGAGAGGGCGTCTGAAGGAGCATCTCTTCATAGAATCATAGAATGTTTTGGGTTGGAAGGGACCCCTAGAGGTCACCCAGGGAGCAGGGACACCTTTAACCAGATCAGGTTGCTCACAGCCCTGTCCAACCTGGCCTGGAATGTTTCCAGGGATGGGGCCTCCACCACCTCTATCTGTTGGTCATGCTCAGGGCGTTCGTTCAGGATGCTAAGCCAACTGGTCCAAAGACTAACTCGTATGGCTAACACTTTTCCCTGTGAGGCTGGTAGCACTACTGAAAAAAAAGAATAAATTGACACATCTGGAACAGCGAGGAGGATGGGGAAGCCTCGGCTGATGTGCCCCTGACACACCACAGAAGCGTCTGTCATTGTCATCACATCGTCACGAGTTTGTACAAACAACAAGAGGCTGCGCTCCACAAGCATGTGCCTGGCTGCGAATTATATGCACAGAAAAATCCAGATTTCAGGGAAGTTTTGTCTGGCCTGAAAATGCTCTGCCCACATGTGCAGCCATACAACCACCATCTGCCAGCCTGCCTACGGGTAAACATGCTGCTTTCCATCAACCCCCCCCCGTCTTTGCACCAACACATACTTTACACTCTCTAAAGCAGAGCCCTCAAGCCTTGGCTGGCTCTTTCCACGCCAACATTCCCGCTTGCATCGAGAGGGCTGGGATTTGGCTGGTCAGGCCCCTGCCCAACCCACAGGGAACAAACGCTGCATGGCTGTCGACCTCCTCCCTCGCCACCAGCCTCCGAGGACAGGGCAAGGGATCGAGGGAAGAGAAGGGAGCCCGCGGGGCTGCACTTACCATACCGTCGGCTTGTTCTCCAGGCTCGCACCGCGTAATGGAGAACCCCATCCATCCACACCAGAAACCAGCTTATACAAAAGCCCAGCAAAAGTCCCAGCATCAGATCAATCTCTTGCTTGGTTACATTGTCAGTCACAAAGTAATTCTCCGAGGAGTCCACCACCGACTGATCCCCGTCATACGGAATAACGTAGTGGACATGATGCCTGTTGCAGGGAACAGAAACAGGGAAAAGCATCAGCGGAGAAACGCAGAGTACGTTTTCCATCCAGCGCCTGCTCTTGTGGCCAGGGGCCAGTTTAACACCATTCCTCCACGTTTCTATCAACATCCTTGGGAGCAGAAGCGCCGTCCTGGCTTTTTGTGCTTATGTCAGCAGAGGAATTGGCAGAGAGCGAGGTAGAAAAGTACAGAAACCTGAACCCACGCCTGGAACTCGTGTCGCATTCCTGACACGGGCTCCCGGCGCCTAAGTTCGTCATCTGTAAAACGGAAGATAATATTAAGGACAGCATGAGGTTGGAGCAGCCGCCCCCTCGAGATGTAAAGGGCAATTCTGCATTCGTGTTTGCAGGCGGAGGTCAGTAACACTTTGCTCCTGCGAGTGCACGCAGCCGTGCAGCCCTGCGAGCGCAATCACAATGTGCTGCCTGGCAGGAGGCAGAGAAGCCCACGGCTGGGCAGTGCCGCCCGCGCTGGCAGCGCCCTGTGCTGTTTTGCTTCATGTCCCATCTCTCGGAGCAAAGCGAGAATCCTATCTTTCACATATTAGAGCAGAGCATGTTTACAGCCACGGAAGAAGTACTTGAAAGCACGCCTCGAATTCGCCCGCAGACAGCAGATGGCAGAGACCCCGCAGCGCATCGCGCCTGGAGAAGTCATGCAAGGTCTAAGACCATCTCAGGTTCCCTTCCTGCGTGACTGGGGTGCTTCGGGATGCGGGGTCTCCCTCACCCTCCTCAAGGAAGAGGCAGCAGTTACTGCCTGTAGCAGGTAGCAAGAAACCCCTCCCAGCACTGGGAGCAGCCGGCAAGCCTCCCCTTAGTGCCCAAATGCCGCCGGGGTAACCTGCAGCAGAACCTCACAGCTCCCTCCTGCAGGGCTCTGGCTCAGGAAGGTCTTCCAGCCTGACCCTACTGGGTGCAGGATCTGCCAGCACCCTGCTTCCCATCTCATCCCACCAGTCATCACCTGCTGGGGACACAGCCCAGAGGCCTGGCCAGAGCTTGCATTGTCGCCAATCTCCAAAAAAAAAAAGCTTAGCGCTGGCCCCAAAGAGCACAGAAGTGCAGCAGCTGCCCTGCCTGCCCACGTGGCCGGTGGCACGCAGCAGGGAGGGCTGCCATGCCACAGGCTGCCAGTCCTCTTACAGGAAAAGCATGGACTTGAGCTTCCAGAGATTTAAGTCTCTCCCAGGGGTTCTGGAGGGGCTGGCTCCATGCTTTATGCCAGAAGGGCAAGTGGGTTCATTTGTGCAATGAGCTGATGGAGACCAAGCTTGGGATGATGCTTCACTGCTTGAAAGACTCTTGGTTAACTTGGGAAAAGCAGGAGAATGGCAGGGATAGAGCAAGGGAGTTGCAGAGTAGAAAAAAATAAGGCAGGTCTGTGGGGGCTGAATGTGTGGGACAGGAGGATCCCAGGTGACAGGGGATGCAGGACGCAAAGCAAAGCTGCTCTGGAGCCTCTGCATCTGCTTCAAATGGCCTTAACCTTCCCTGAGAGCAGCCAGGAGCCACGAGGCTGCCCAGGCTCTGTGCTTAGCCATCCTGCCTCCTCCCAGAGCCTGATTTAGAGGCAGGCGCTGCTTGGGCTTGTGCTGTCACTGGGAGCCCAGGAGCGGCCAGCCAGCCCCGGCGAGGTGCGCTCCACAGCCCCATGTGCCTGCCGGCCCCGCGAAGGTTGCGTGCATCAGCCCTGGCACTGCAGCACGGGTGCATCACCAGTGCTCCCAGCTCAAGGCCAGGGCACAGTTGCATGGGGTCTCCCCAGCATTGCCCACCGACAGCCCCACCAGCATCACCAACACTCACGTCCCTCCCACATCCATGGACCCAGCCCTGCTCCCACATGCAGGAGAGGAGGCAATCGCTGGAGGCTTCTGAATATGCATGAGGTGCAGGTTGCTCAATAATCATGCCTGAGAAACGTCCAAATATTTACACAAACAAACCTCCACTCAAAGGAACCTACTGAAAACAGCCCTAATCTCAGCAATGACTTAATGGAGGCCACCGGCACCAGAGGCACCAGCTCCCAGCAGATCAAGGCATGTAGGGCTGGCATACAATCTGGTGCCGTGGCGTGCGGGGTGGAAAAGGCTGTGTGGCTGGGAAGCCCATCCAGCCATGCTCCTGCAGTCTCGTACCGCTCCCCACCTGCACTCAGCAAAGGCCCCGGTAGTAGGGACCAGGCTGGGGCTGCAGCAGAAAGGAGACGCGTCCCAGCCAGCCCTGATGGCAGCTCAGAGGGACCTCAGAGGCTAACCCCTGCTCATTCCTCCTCTTGCTTGTGGGTTTGTAATTGGATTTTTTTTCCCCTCACTTGGCTAGGGAAAACCTAAGGGGCAGAGGGCTCCCGAAAAGGGAGCTCTTATTGATGAATGGGAGGGCTCCCATTAATGCCATGAACACAGGCAAGCAGCTTTGCAGAAGGGGAAAAGGCAAGGCTCACACCCCCCTCTCATGTGCCACGCTTCCCCAGGCATTGCCAGGGATACCTGGCAGGTCCTTAACTTCCTCCCTTTTGCTTCTTGCCGTACAGAAACAGCCTAAGGGCTGAGTTCACAAACGCCTCCATTCCTAGATTGGAATCCTAGATTGCTTGAAATGACCAAGAACTGGAGTGCCTCGGCAGGAGCTGGTGGTATCTCCTCTGCACTGGTGTGGCACAATCCGCAGGGCTATCTAAAAACCGCCCCGTGCGGAGCATCACTGACACGCGGCCACTGCTGGGGCCGAGAGAAGCAAAGCCTCCCAGAGCCATCAAGGACAGATCCATTCCTTGGCAGTGAGAGCAGACCGCTCTCCACCCAGCAGGTGGTTTTCGCAGGGGGTCTCAGCCCTGTACCAGTCCTGGAGAAGAACCCTCCCACTGCCAAACTTCCCCCTGAACTCAGGAGCAGGGATGTGCCTGCAGTGCTTGCATATGTGCACGCACACGCACGCACACGCACGCACGCGCACGCACACGCACGCACACAGCGTGGCCAGCGCTGTGGTACCATGGGACACGGTGCTCTCCTCACATGCTTGACAAGGTTTTTTACAGCCTGCTCTCTTCACAGCTCTCGTCCTCTGCTCGCAGGGCACCGAGGGAAGGGACACGGTCACCTCTTCCCTGCCTTGTTCCTCTCGGTGCAGGCTGACTCTGCACGCTGCAGTGGGATCTCCTCCAGCTCTCCCAGCTGCCTTTGGTCACCACTGGGCTGAACGGCACCTTGGGGGCAGCAGTCAGGGCCTTTTGTGTTTGCAGCTCCCTGTCCATGTGACGGGGACTGTCCCCAAAGCCCAGCGGTTTCAGCGTCCAGGCTCAGAGGTGAAGTCCCTGTTTCTGCCCTGTAGCTTCCATAAAAATCACAGCATCACAGAGTGGTTGAGGTTGGAAAGGACCCCTGGGGGTCATCTGGGCCACCCCCCTGCCCAAGCAGGGCCACCCAGAGCCGGTTGCCCAGGACCATGTTCAGACAGCATTTAAATATCGCCAGGGAGGGAGCCCACAACCTCTCAGCAACCTGACCCAGAGCTCAGTCACCCGCACAGTGCAAAGTGTTTCCTGGTGTTCAAGCAGATTCTCCCGTGTTTCAGTTTGTGCTCGTTGCCTCCGGTGCTATCACTGGGCCCCTGTGCAAAGACCCGTGCTCGTTGCCTCCGGTGCTATCACTGGGCACCTGTGCAAAGAGCCTGGCTCTGCCTTCTTTACACCCTCCCTTCCTGTATTTGTATACATTGATACGATTCCCACCGCCCCCCCCCGAGCCTTCTCGTCTCCATCTCCGCAGCACGACGAGCCTAGGTCTGTCGGTCATTTAGGTCCAGAGCCTGCAGATGGAGTGGGGCAGACAGAAAGACGACATAACCAGCTCTGGGGTGCAGTGGAAGTTGGTGACAACTATTTTCAACACCACCTCTCTAACGTGAGTGCACCAACACCTCTGCATGCCCCTGAGCAGTAAGAGGCATCTCAGACAGATGACGGAGGGAGGAAGCTCCAGGAAAGGGTGGGTGGTTGACCCTTTCTCGTTGTTCATGTCTGGGCTGGGGCTGGGCACACAAAGTGACCATCGGCTTCCAGCGTTGCATAAGGAAGGATTCAGCCCTTGCAGTATCCCTGTGCTAGCCCTTTGCCTGTACAGCCTGAAGTGCTGTGGGACGGTCGTGCCCAGGGGAGAAAGGAGTCAGTCCTGTTGTACAGCAAGTCCAAAGTCAATTCATGGGAGGCAAAATTCAACAGAGAGCAAAAACTTTGACCTGTCTGGATTTGGCAGCTTAATTTTCCAAGTATCAGAAATCAAAGTTGGGTCCCAGGTGCAAATTTCCTTAAAAGAAAAGCCTCCCATCACTAAAGCACCCCAGGAAAGCGCTTGAGGCCTTGCACTGCTACCTCCCAGGCAGCTTTCGTGAGCTACCAGAGTAGTTCCACGCCATGGAGATGCCAGTGCTTGGTTTCCACCCTGCAGAGTTTTCTGGAAAGGGTTTAGCAAGGCTCAAGGGAAGATGACTTTCTCCTGCTAGTGCAACAGTTGAGTGATCTGGGCTGCAGGGGTTTTCATGCTTTGTTTTGGCTTAAAAGGATTGAGTGGTGCCACTGAGCTGGGGAGGAGAACAGGACAGACACACACCCCACCCACCCCCCACCTCGAAGTTTTCTGTTGCAGCTCAAGTCCTTGGGGATGTTACGGGAACGATTCAGAGGCACTGGCACATCAGCACAGCACGTTATTAATAGTGCACAAAGGTCCAGGGTCCCCACCGCATGTCAGGGGAATTGGAAACTGGAACATGGCCTGGATGGCTCTGGGGGTCGGATCCAGCAAGGGAATGTATCACCTCTAAGCTGAGCTTAATGTGGGTGCAGCAAGCCCCTGCCAGCTCCACGCCAGGGCACTTTCTGAGAGGGCAGACAGCGCTGGAGACCAGGTTCTGGCAGGGCAGCTCCTCAGAGCAAATACTTTTGGCCCAACCTTGTTTTCAGAAACGTGGCCACC